ACCTGTTACACTGTGCGCCGACTAGGTCGTGCATGGCACGCGTAGACGGGCTGTTCAAATTCTTCGGCCACCTCCGGTCGTCCTGGCTCTGCTTTGCCCACTGTGTTAGGTAGGAGAGAGTGCTACGGGTGCTGTGGCGTAATTTGCGCGCAAGTCACCGTCCTGCACTCACCGCGGTAGACACCAATGTTCGCGATTTTCTTAATGGTGATTTTGTACGGTCATTTCAGCGGTAAACCATTAAAGGATAAGAGAGTAGTGAACCAGCAGTCGTGCTGCTGGGTTGATTATGTTTTCAAATATCCACTTCTACGCCGATCCGCGCCTGCTACTGACTGGTAGCTCGGCATGCCTAGGCACACATCGACCTTTAAAGTCAAAAGCAACGGGCTAACTCTAGCTTAAATCCTAGGTTCCGCCAGTCATTCCCCTGATCGGAGCGAAGGGAGGCTACTTTTTCTGAGACACCAGTCAGAACGTTATACGTCCAGTACTTGGTACGGCTGTGATCATGTCTGATCTAGCCGGCCTCGATGTTGTCACGTCTGCTACCTCTCCATGTGTGACGAGTTGCAGCAGGGGATCTGGAATGCACCGGCCATTGTTTTCTCCAGTGACAGAGCTCAAATAACAAAGGTCCAATAACCGCTTCAAAACTATACCGAGCCAGGTCTTGAGTTGATCTCTTAGCCGCCTCCAGATCGGCAGCGGCACCGGATCGAGCGCAGTGTAACTGAACTCGTGAGATCGACGGCGGGGGCCGTGGGTAAACCACCCCAGTTGTCTTTCTTGGACGATCTGAGATATCCTCGCGATATTGTTGCTGCGAGTGTGGACTGCCTCATTTGAGACGAAATCGGTGTACTTCATTTGAAGAATGGTCCCCAACTACGCTCCAGTCTTCGCTCATCTTCAACGCGCAAGGCTTAGCATTCCCGACCGTAGCGGAGGACTGACCGGACGAATGCACAGTACACACAGGGATCTTCGTGGTGACGGAGATGTCGCGTCGGATCCATAGGTGACGTGTTGGTCTAAAATTGGTCAACAACTGCGCCCTTGGCCACAGAAACTGTCCCTCCTGTTATTTTTGCAACATGTCCAGCCTACGTGTTTTATTGGCTTCTGTTAAAATCGGCTGGCTGGAAGCCAGAATGAGGTAAAGTTGAGAGAGGCACCAGGTAGACTTTCTCTGAGAGAATGGGTGAAATTCGTTAACTAAAAAAGGGTTTCTGCACACGTGCAGGCATAAACCCGCACATGCACCCCGAGCTAACTTTTTTCTTGCACACAAGCGGTTCATATTTTCATTTTCCTGCCCCTGTTCACTGTGTTCTTTTTTTACTTTTATCCCCTCCCCCCTACCCAGCTCGCCTCCGGCTCACCCAGTCGCCCGTCGACGTCCGTGTCTCCCGTTTCGGCGAACGTGCTGAGTTCCGTTGCGCATCATCGGATCCCCAAGTGCTGCCCACCTGGCTCTTCAATGGAGATCCGGTGTCCACCTTTGATCGTGAGTCCTCCTGTCTCCCCGTTTTGCGTGTGTATGTGTCCGTTATGTCGATCTAGTGCCTCCTTTATCAGTCTCGTCCAATGCCGGTGCTCAGCCAGGCCCAGTGGTCATCGACTTTGAAAACTCGCTTTAATCTAACAAAGTGGTTCCCTCTTGTTTGTCTGTGTTGACTTCCGTCAATCAGCGTGTGTGCAATCAGGGTGTTTTGGTTCGCAGTACTCCCTACTTTGAAGACCCAAGCTATGATTGTCAGGCATTGATCGATTCTAGACGCAATTTTCCCTGAACTAAACTACCTCCTATTGTGGGCGCATATGCTCAAGTACTGTAAATATGGTCAAACGTCGAGATATCACTGTCTTATTACGCCTTGTGTGAGTCCCCAAGGAAGAATACAACAAAAAGAGCGCAAAAGCATTTAGCATACCTAGTACAGCGTACTTATGGCAAGCAACGCGTACAAGGTTGGACCAATCAGGTTGCGGTCTCAAACGAGGAGCGACTGCATTGGCTTTGTGATTCATCCAGCTGGCGTGTTAGAGGCCTCCACCTGGCCGCAGCTATGCGGCATCACGTGCACTGTGTGTGAGTGGCCCGGTCGTATGGCGTGGGAACGACCTGTCTGGGCTGTATGCGCGCGCGGTTAAGTTGGGCCTTAACATCAAGTTTTCGCTTGAAAGGCTGCCAACTGAGGGTATAATTCTGAATGGGTTCCGGGGGTCAGTTTTGGCGGACAAGTTAATGCAAATCAAGCATCCATGCCGATCGGATGGTTTGTTC